TTTTTTTTTTTTTCTTTTTTTTCTCTCTCTGAAGCAGCGTACTAACGAGAAGAATCAATTAACCAAATTAGTTGGTTTCTCGTCTGATAGCGCGCGCGTAGCTAACTCACAGTGTCATCTTAAACAAACGTTTAATAAGGAATCAACGGATGAAGAGGACAACTTGTATGCCTTATATACTGCCACAACTTATCATCCAGGAGATGAGAAACTGACTAATCATCTTGAAGATTATTAGGGAGATAGAGGATCTCTTGAAGGTTGCAGAATTACATTTGGAAAAAGTGAAATAGAAGCTTGTACATATATACATTACCAGCGATCGCAATACCAATTGATAATAATTCAACGAAAAAAGAAAAAAAAAAAAAGAATAATAAAGATGGGATGTCCATTGATTTCAATCTGAAATGACTAATCAGAAGTTTGATACACTGTACATTATTGTAATTCGTTCCGGACTTTGGGAGTTTCTAATTAACGTTGTTGTGATAACTTGCGCACGCATTATACCAATTCTTGTATAAACCTCAAAAATTTATTTTCGTAGTTCTCTTTAACGACGATCTTGGGGATTTAAGTGACTAACATTTTTGCACCGCATCTGATCGATAAGCACGTCTATTGTTTGACAATTATATCTTCTTATTCGCGCGTAATCCGAATACTTCAGCTGTCGGAAGAAGTATCCTCGTCGGAGGATTAGCTTGTTTTCCTGATCAAGTGATTTCAGAAGTGACGAGATTACATCTGAATGAAAATTCACAGCCTAGTAGTAACTACTTACAGATTAAAATACAAGATTCTTCTGTGAGATGCATAGAGCCTTGGACACGACATGGTTACACCAGTCCATATTGCTGATTGACAATTTAAATTATAATCTCACTGTATCTCTCCCATCGAGTGCACACGTGTCGTTCACAGCTGAAGGAAGCAAAACCGAGAGAACTCGAACGCAAGTTGGTATAGTTGGAAAAGTGTTCATCCTAATTGTACATAGGCTCCCATGGATCCGTAACGAGTCTGTAGTCTTCAGCGTTATTAATTCTAGTCTTTCTCATCAGGAGGAGTTCTCCGGTTACGCTGTAATGTTCGCGCGCGAGAGAGAGAGTGAGCGAGTAAGTGAGTAAGTGAGTGAGTGAGTGAGAGAGCGAGAGAGTTCCATAAAACCTTTGTCAGGAAAACTTTAATGTAGCTTTTAAGGATGTGGTTTACAATAAAGAGTGTGAGGTCAGTCTAGCATTAACTTACAAAGGATCGCGTCAATTTGCATAAACGATGAAACAAATTGCCTCGTTCAGGTTCCCAGAATTAAAAAGAAAAAAAAAAAAGAATCAATATGCGGAAATTCTTCTGTGATAAACTTCTTACGAATGAAAAAAAAAAAAAAAAAATAATGAAAAAAGACTGATTAGGAAGACCATCTTCTAAGTCGCCGTATTTAGAGGAAAACTCATGAGAAAGAAAATTAAAAAAAAAGAAAAAAAAAAAGACCATCGCGAACGCTCTCACGAACTCCTCGTCCATTTGTCTGATTATTTCTGTAAATCTTGTGGATTTTCGTTTTAAAACGATTAAGACATCCGTCAACATCCGCTTCGTGGACGGGATTGAGAGAAACACGCAGGATCCATCGATCGTTGTAGTTGCACTTCGACATTCTTCAAACCTAATCTCATACGTACAGTTGTCCCTTTATCTTTAAGCAGTTTTAAGCAGTTTAATGACTGTTATCATACGAAAGTTTTCTCGCACGATCTCATATGTATACATATATCTATATAATAGGCGAAAGACATAAATTTCAGTCGGACATTAGTAAAATTAGTAGGTACCAAAGTAGACATGGTACTATAATTTTCATTAGAATGATTTACTTACTTGAAAGAAGAGCAGCTTGGGAATCACGAGAATGAGCGAAAAAGTAGTGAATAGCGGTCATAAAACATCGAAGCAATATAATGTTGGGACATTAACACGACTTACGTCATTAACATGAATTATTCGCGAATCCATGGTGACCTAGATTCGATTCAATTTGACGCGATCTTCGAAAACCGACAACATGTAA